AGAACATTTTATACGGAAATCTCTTAAATTCTTATTTTTTTTAACTAATTTTTCTGGAATTCTTTTAATTTATAAGAATAAAATCACCTCTTTTGAAAATATTACAAAATATCGCTAACAAGTAAGAAATGCTAATAACAAAAGGTATTTTTTGATTACATGCATGTTCACTCAATAGAAGCAGACCATGGAATACAACAAAACAAATACCTAATCAAAACATAAATAATCCTCAAACTGTCAATAGTTGACAATAGTTTCGCGTCACTTTGAGTAATTTCTGTGCTTACCAAACGCGTTTTACGAACGACAAAGCTATTGATATGCTTGCAGTTTATTTTGAATGCCTTCAGATTGTTGCAGCAGCAAAATGAGTTTACACGCGACTTGATATCCAAATCGGCGCCTTTGCGATGTGAGAGTTTTCCTCCGAATAGTGGCGAGCTTACGAGCCAAAGGTAGTTGTCGACCTCCGTTTCAACCGCAAAGAATTAAAAGAACCCAAGAAAATATTAACCGCGTACTGGGATATATTGAAGGAAATCATCATGTTAGCACAACATCATTAGGATTTATTTCTATTTAACTTTTTTTAATTACATCCAGAATACACCCATATCATGTCGTTTTGCATCAGACCTTGTAAGAGGAAGACTTTGATCAGAGGTTGGACTATTGAGAGAATTTTTATTTTAAATTTTTTGAACCGATGAAGCCACCTTTAATAGTGAGAGGAGAGTCAATCTGCACAATAAACATTCTTGGAGTGGAAAATAGGCTTGCCAGGAGGCCGGGAAATCCGAGTGTCCCAGAATTATGCGTCTTGTTCCGTGTCCAGTAACGAAACATAACTATCCCGGATTTCGATCACCTACTAGTTTTTTCACAAAATTACTGGAGTTGCAGCTACTACACGTAACGCACTGCTACCAAGTGCAAATTTTGTTTTGCAAAGGCTTGCCGGAGAGATGCTAATAAAAATGGCAAAATCCAGTGATAAATATTTAAAAAAATAATTCTAAATATATATTTGGACGGTGTTAATTTTTTGTTTTTATTCAATGGAAAATTTTATATTTTATAAGGCAAAGAAGTTCTTTATTTTTGTTTTAAAATACCAAAGTTGACCTTATTAATTTTAGCCATAAGGAGATGCTATATTTTAATTTTTACTCTAGAAAGAGTATTACTTTTATAACAAAAATATTACTTCTTTATTTTTAAGTTTAAGGTAACTCGTGTTTTTATTGTACCAAAGTTTACCTTATTAATTAGCTATAAGGAGATGCTCATTTTTCGTTTTTATTCTGAAAAGAGTATCATTTTTATAAGAAAAGAATATTTCCTCATTTCTATTTTAAGATAACTCGTGTTGTTCTTGCACCAAAAGTTTTACCTTATTTAGCCATGAGATGCTCATGTTTGATTTTAAGTCTGGAGAAGAAGTATCAGTTTTATAAGACAAAGAATAGTTTTTTATTTTTGTTTTAAGTTAACCCGTGTTGTTCTTGTACCAAAGTTTACCTCAGTAACTAGCAATATGGTGATGCTCAATTTTTGTTTTCAGTTTATTCAAGTTTGATATTAACTGACGGCAGTTTTCACTAGAATTTAACTTCTAGCCTCGAGTATTGCTGAGCCGTTTGGGGTGCTGCCGCCCCGACTACACGATTTATGCTCGATGCTGTCCTGATCGATGACTCTTCTCCATTAGACAGTCTCGGACCCTTTCGCACCGGCGGGCCATCGGCGATCTAGCTCTTTTCTACGGCTACACCAACGGGCTTTGCTCCTCAGAGCTCTCTTCCACGATGCCGCCGCGCGATGTACCTGCCAGACGGACCCGCCTTACTTTGGCCTCCCATCCTAACCGTGTTGAAGTTTGTACATCCAGAACTGGCCGATACGACCGCTAATTTGTCCCGAGGGTGTCGAGATTGTGGAACAATCTACAAGAAGAAGCTTTTCCCAGTTCTCCTAACCTTAACAAAATTTCTTTGGGATCATCATAGCAGCCGCAGTGTCCCGGCATTTAGGCTTCTGCCTGCGCGGCGGCTTCAGTATAAAAATCTTGATCAATAAGATAAAGCGGCATGTTAATGTTTTTTCTACTCTCAATATGATCCAAACTACAGTTATTGTCTATCAAAGTATTAATTAATCAATAAATAAAAGCAAAGTATTGAAACTGAATTTTGGTAACGTTATATATATATATATATATATATTTACATATCTCCCCCAAATTTCGACTCTTCACAACCATACAATCTGTGTTTTGGCCGATTCCACCAGTAATTTTCATTCCACTCAAATATAATAATTGGTTAATCTTAGAGAGAAGTAGATGAGAACACATAGGCAACGAGTAAAAAGCTGGATTATGAGGTAAAATATTAGAAAGAAAAATTTTTTTAATTATAAAATTAATTATTAATAATTGTTGATAAAACCATAGCTTTTTTTTAAGAAACCACTGACGGATTTTGAAGAAATTTGGAGATTTATTAACTATTGAAAAACTTTCGAACAATCATTTTTACCAGAAACCACTTCGGCTTTAACACGTGCTGAAGCCGACTGGAAGTGGCTTAGTGACGTGTGAAATTGACATTATTGACACACCATCGATCAAGCGAAAAAGGAGAGAAGGAGAGGAAAGAAAGAGATCGACACATCTGTGTTGCCTACTTTGTGTGGAAGTGCTAAGATGAAGATGGGTTGCAGCAAAAATTTATATTCAAAATTATTTTCAAATTGATAAATATTATTATGGAAAGAAGAAAAAAAAGCACGTTCCTACAATTGTAGGACTGACTGACGATACGGCCCTAAATCTTTCAATTACATCATTTGCTATCTGATTCGATTGACTAGGCATATACCGCACTAATGATTGCTATAAAAGCCTGAACGTGTATACTGTTTGTTATGGTAACAGCGACGGAAAACAAACATCCAATTCACTCTATGAAATACGAAGTTACAAATTTTTGTAAGCCTCAAATTTAGTACTGTTATACTCACTTTGCATCCTCCAAAGCCAAAATGGCCTTTTCCTTATTCCCATTTTGCCACTCAACTAACGCCAGTTCCACGATGGCGTAAGGCACGAGGTAGTGGTCCTCAACCAGATCTTTCTGCATGGAAATGACAGTTTCCAAGCGCTCCAACGCTTGCAGCGGACTCCCCATGTGCCTCAGACAAGCGCCTTGCAGCAACAGTGCTAGCGCTTTGTTATCAACGTCATATTTGGTGGGCCTTGTAGAAGCATTCAGGTCCCGTAGAGCTTTTTCGATCACTTTGTATATGTCGCTAGCCACGCTGAAGTTCTTGAGCACTTTGAAAAGGTTCCAGAGGAACATCAGTTCGATCACAGGGATTACTAAGTTGTGATTCTGGTTGAAGTATCTTTCGGCTCGTTTCACGGCGAATTTTTCCATGGGAAGTGATTTGCCGGCGATTCGTTGTTTACATTTTGGTACTTCCCTGGAAAAATAATGTTTGATTCCAGTACACAAAGTGAGGGGTGTTCAAGGGACGATTTAATATTTGCATTCCATTTAGCATTTTGATGATAAATTTAGGAAGGAATGGTTTACTTTTGTGCTTAATATTGCTAAACAATGCAAAGTAGTAATGTAATTGCTTTCTTGAATTTATAGCAGAATCGGAACCAGTAAGTTGTGCGTGTAGGCAGCCAGTACTGCAACTAACTTGTGCTAGTTGTAGATTGTACATCAGGTCTGTCAGATCCAGCGTACAGCCTTGATCCCATAGAGTATTAACTACATTACAGTATAGTATTTAAAAAAAGAATGAAATCTTTCATAATGTGTAACACCAAAACTAAAAAAATAGCGAGGCAAAGAAAATGCGTCTGACCGATGAACTAGATGAATTTAAACCGATCGTTTAAAATAAAAAAAACTAATAGCTGCACAACCACTTTGAAAATACAATGCTTAAAAGCGAATTGCAAATACGTTAACGAAAATAATACAACCAAAAGAACCAATAAGGACGCTTTCACACGATCCGGCGCACGCCTGACAAGCGTGATGTTTTCACACGAGGTCGGCTTCGTCCGGCGCGCGATGTGCGTCGCTCCAGTATGTTAACTGTTCAGCTAGCTATTGAAATGATTACAGCGCGAAAGAAAAAAGTACTAGCCATGTACTTGCTATGGAGCCGGCGTATAAGAAGAAATAGGCGGTTTTCGATTCACCCATTGCTTCAAATTCGACATACTTCTGGGTCCTTCAAAGTTTTATTCAATTCATTGCAGAACAGTGAGGAAACACAAAACACAACACGCGCGCCGGATATTGTGTGGAAAGACTCATCTACACCCATACCCCAACGCCGCAACAGGCGCGCGCCGAGACAATGCCGCCACTATTTGACCCAAAATATTTTTTACTTACATACCTCATTAAATTATCGATTTCAAGCTTCTGATCGCGAGTTAACTCATTTTTCATCATGCACATTATCACAGCCTTTTGGTAACTGTACAGGCATTTGGACCACTTGCTCTTTTCCAACAATAGCGAACAATATTGTAAAGCTTCCTTCCATTCCGTTTTCAAGCTGAAACAAATTCAGCGTGCAATGTAAAAAATACTTACTTAAATATTTGTTTTCTTAAACAAATATTTAATAAATATAAAAATATAAAATTTTTATTAAATATTTATTCAATAACTTTAAATATTTAAATACATTATTTCTTTTATAATATTCAATAAATATTTACTTTTCAATCAATGAAATCTCCAATATTTAGAAAATATTCATTAAATATTTCGGCTACGGCGCATGTGCGTGTGACCCGAGCGACCAATGGCATAATGGCACGCCGACCTGAGCCGACCCGTTTGCCGGCATCTATTTTGCCTGTGAGTTTCACTATAATAGTGTACCTCCAAGTGGTACATTATTTGAAAGTTTTTTGTGGAAAAGGGAAAAGGGTTAAGTTTTTCGATTTTAATTTATCTAACTAGTAAACATTATTGTGCCAGTTGAGTATAAAGGTATTTACAAAAGTAACTAGCTTTGAAGTGCAATAGTTATTTGGGATTGGTTGATTTATCTGAGAATGGATACGAAAGATATATAAATAACATCACAATGAAAAGTCATTTAATCATTACTTTTCAAATAAATCTGAATTATCATTATTTTTGTCGTAGTAGGGGCCAAATCAGCTGTAACTATACGTATTTTAAATTTTCAGGTTCAACAGCGAAAAAATTTTAACGTTCGAAAATAATATACTTTTGTCCCTTGAATTAGAATATAAAATCACAAAATAGTTATGGCTAAATTAGCCCCCTTACTACTGCAAAAAAGTCACATTTCAACAAAATTAATAAGTGGTCTATTTTTAAAAACATTTTCTTGGAGTCAGCCAAAGGATCAAGTTGTGTCCCTGGACATTTTTCATCAAGATATCTAAAATAACATAGGAAATTTCTTAAAAATTAACCAAATCTCGAACTATCATAGGAAGAAAATGTGGAGTCGTTCAGGTGCATTATAGAGCTGCCTCAGTGACCAGTTCAGCTTTTGGAGTAATTCAGCAGTGCTCAGCACCAATATTGTTCCGCTGCATGTAATATTCCCATAAATACACTGGAAAGCAGCTTATGTATTCAATAATTCTTCATAATGAGTAAGTTTTTTTTTCAGAAGAGTGGATTTGCAAGATGCAGACGAAGCTTAGAATGTTTTTTTATAAATATTTTTCTAGCAACTGAACCATTATATCTAGAATGAATTTTATTTATAAACCCCATTTTATGAAAGCATTCCTACAGATTTTGCTAAAATAACCAATGAAGAAACTTTCTATATACCTTCACTGAAAATATGTATCAGATTAATGCTTGAAAATCCATACACATTTACGAAAAATATTAGATATTTCATCAAAATATAGAATTGATATTTAAAAATCATTCCTGATATATTTTCTAAATATTTGGAAAAAATAGCGGAAAAATATATGAATTATATATGTTACCGGTAATCTGTACAATTCAGGTATTCTATACAAAACCTAGGCAATGTATAGAATACCTGGGTTGCCCAGGCAATGTATGAAATATGAATATTATTATTCATTACATACTTTACCTAGGTAATGAATACAATTCCTAGGGATTGTATAAGGTGCCTGCTGTTCCACCGGCAATGTGAAAAATAAATAGATCTTGGTCTAAATTTTATCAATGTTAACAGGCATACCTATAAAATGATGGGCATATTAAACAAGTTATATTATTTAAAATCAACTTTCTTAAAATTAACAATTAGAGTGCTCCTTAAAAGTAAGCTTCATGAAAAGGGTACAAGAAAAGCACCTTTCTGTTACTACAGTAAAATTAATGTAAAACTAAAAATTATTCTGGCTATAAATAACATAATGTATATTTTTTTTGCTTACAAGGACGCATTTCGTTTATTGCCTGCCTGACGGCATGTACAACTCGTTCCTTGCTCTCGTCTTTCACATACATTACCGGCTGCGTATTCGGTATTGTATAGAATACCTAGGCAAAGTATAAAACAAATAATGTTTCATACATTAATTACACGTTTTAGGTATTCTATACATTACCTAAGTATTGTATAGAATACCGGATTATACAGTTTGCCGGTAAGATATATATGTATACTACAAATATCTATAAAGGATATTTTATGAATATATAAGAAATATATTTACTAAATATTAAAAAATCTGTCGCAACAAATATTTAGCAAACATTTCTTAAGAATACTTAATAAATATTTAATGCTATCGGTGCATGAAATCACTTACCAATGTACCCACACAAGTTCCCAGTAACAAATATGATGGAACTGCGGCCAAAGATCCTGCGACTTCCACGACCTCTTGTAAAATTCCTCACTCAAGTCCAAATTCCCCTTCGTCAGTTCAAGCCTGCCTTTAAAAAATAAAAACCAAACACCATTCACGTGTTTATTCAACTGTTTTTGTATGATCTCCTCGCATATCTTCAGATCGCCTTCTGTGTGGCTTAACACGTGCATAACAATGAGGTTATAGCCCAACAGGGTCATCAGGCACAGGATTTGTCTCAGGCCGTCCATACGGTAACCGGCCAGTAGATCATCAAGACCCTTTTGCTAAAAAAAAATACAATAAAATTAAGATTACATGTTATTGTTGTCCAACCAGGTATGAGACAAAATTGCAATATAACAAGTCCCACAGTGTTTGGTATAATGTATAGATGATTCCTAACAACTTCCTTCTATTTCGGCAGTTGCTTATAGTGTGAACAAATATCGATCTCACAACTATTTAATGTAAAGGATTGGAACCTAGCACCTATCAGGCAAGTCGAAATAAGAAAAAAATTAAGATGTCATGGTGCTTTACCTTATTTCCGGAAAACCCAATGATTCTAACAACTTTATTACTCTGGATGGTAACATGGATATCATGAGGTTAAAAGTTCCAATGCCCATTTTTACTCCGCTTTCAAAGTGCACCTTCGTTGAATCTCTATCCCAGTTTCTTTTAAGTAGTATTTGCTGACAATCCCTAAAAACAGAAATACGTTGATTCTCGAAATAAAAATGTCAGAAAAGTTGGGTCAAGTCAAGCCAAATTGGCTTAATAATATTTTCAAATATCCTTTCCGTACAAACTGGATATCATCGGTACAAAATTGTTATTTGAGTAACAAGAAATGAGACTTGTCAATCTTCAAAATTCTCAGCCCTCTGAAGAGAAGTACAATTACGCCGTAAAATAAATCAGAAACAAAAGACAATGGTGAAACACAAAGATCGGATATTTTATGAAATTTTGTTTTCTAGAAAAGTTTATTTCAAATATCCCTTATGTTAAAAACTGAATATCTTTGATACAACAATTTTTATTTCAGTAACATTGTTACTGATTTACGTAACTCAAGATCTTCGAAATTCTGAACCCATTGAAAAGAAATATAATTATGACCTACAATGAATCAGAAACAAAAAGGCAATGTTGAAACACACAGTTCGTATTTCATGAAATTATTGTTCTAGAAAAGTTTATTTGCTAATCCCGAAAACTTAGTAGTATAAATGTCAGAAAAGTTTGTCAAGTCAAGTAGATTGACTTAATATTTTCAAATATCCATCACATACCAACCGAATATCGGTACAAGAAGTGTTATTTGAGTAACAAGAAATGAGCCTTGTCAATCTTCAAAATTCTTCGCCCATTGAAGAGAAGTATAATTATGCCCTACAATGAATCAGAACAAAAAGGCAATGTTGAAACACACAGTTCGGTATTTCGTGAAATTTTTTGTTGAAAACTTAGTAGTGTTACCTATTATGACTCACAGCATATACTTCTGCAATTTCATCAAAATAAGTGCCACCATTCCTGAGATTACGCGAGTAGAAGAAAGTCAACAGACAGGACTACAGATCGGTGGAAATAAGTGTCAACGATTTTCGTGATACGAGAATACATGCTATCATTGCTTAAGCGTGGAAAACAACAGGAAAATTGTACAAATCACTTACTTATACGAGTTATAACACGATCTGATCTTAAGTCCAGCCTTGATGAAACTACTCAACGTCTCATCCTCCATGAAGGTCAACATAGACTTGAGGAGCAAGCACTCAGCATGGCACAACTCGGCATGTGCCTCTTCTTCCGTGTACTGGTCGAAGTTGGTCTTTTTCACCATCTTTCCAATAGATTCTCCCAAGGTGTTCTTCTTTCTGTACCTGTTGCACACGGCCAGGGAGTGTTTGAGTGCCTTGGACGCGTTGATGATGGACTGCTGCTCGAAGGTGAGCATCGCTTCGAGGTAGAGGAATACTGAGTGGCCCAGGGAGTGGTACATGCTCACGTTGGAACTGGAAGTTGAACCTTTGAGAATATGCCGGGATTGCAGAATCAAAAACGTTCTTGGGAAGCCTCCTCAACGGTAATACCAGTAGCGTATATAAGTGGAGTTCCGGCGAACTACTGATCAGGGAGTGGGCGAGTTTGCAAATTGTGTGAACTATTTTACTTCATCATGACGCATGTAGTTGTAACTTTAGTAAGACGAGTTTAAAAATAATTGTGAAAACGCTTTATCTGGAGGTTATTTACTCATCCTATAAAAGTGAATCAATCAAGTTCACGAACTTCATAATGATTAACCTTGACCACAACCTTCAAGATCATATCAAGGTTAGTTTCATGAATAACTCTGTTGACCATGATCATAATGGTGAAACTAAATCTTTCAGGAAATTTTTAAAATCACGCTAAATCATTCTCAGCTCAGGTAACACGAAAGTCATGTGTATGTATCTGTACTACAATATGGTCTTAAATGTCAATTTTCAAAGAAGTTTAATGGTCATGGTCAATATTTACTAATCGACCATTATAGATCATCAATGTCTTCTGATTTCCGTAATCAAAAATGAAGCGTCTCATCGAAAAGAAGTGACTTGACCTTGACATTACCTTGAAGGCCATGATCATAGTCGAATCTTAGAAATTGTAACTAACTATGTTTTCTTTCATCAATATATCATATATATATATACATATATATATATATATATTCATAAGTAATTGCCTTAACTGTTAGGAGAAAATATCCTTGAGTTTCTTTGGGTAGAAGGCAAAGTTTTGCATAAGTACACTCTTATGATTTGAACTCGAGCTTCGATGGTCTATGCCACATATATACGAGTATATACAGGGTGTAAAGTTAGTAGTAGATCAACGGAAGTCAGGTGATAGGAGGCCTCAAAAACTATCGAATGAACTCCCATATGTGTGGTCCAAAATTTTTAGTTCACGAGATATTTGCACTTTTCTTAAATTTCGAAAAAACGGGATAATGAACTTTCAATTTCAATTTCAACTAGACCATAGTTTGAGCAAGGGTTATGTCACTTTTTAACAGAGCTTATCAGAAATCAACGCTAAAAATCTTAAATACATTTTTTTGTACAAAATCTCTTCCATCCCTCAACTTTGGAGGGCGGTCAAAAAATTAAGGTGGTATTTCATTATTCATTTTATTGTAAAACTATTTCAATCCTTGTAGAATAAACCCTGAAGATTTCAGCTTGCTACGATGAGTGTATCATGTCAAATTCATTTTGAACCTGTTTTCAAAGCGTTAATCGTCATTTATTATGATATTGAGAGCAACACTCAAATGACTATTTTCTGATGGGTCCCAAAATATATACAAAGAAACATTATTTTGCTTTTAAAGAAAAGTATTTCTGGCAATTTTTCTGGTGAGTTACATGTTTATCTTTATCAACAATCGTTCAATATTTTCTGAATCATGTCTCTTCATGAATACTAAAATATTTTCCCGCTGCAAGAGCAAAATTTACATAAGTTCTTATGCGATTTTCAAGCTCGTTATGGAATAAACAACGTTTTTGAAACCCCCCAATTCGAGAGGTCTAGAAAGATTCATAAAATTTATATTGTTTTAACTCTACAAGTTGGAGATGTGAAACTGTGAATTCCTCAGAAAAGCACGAAAGAGCAAGTTGTCTATTTTCAGTAGCGAAATAGCATTCTTTTCAATCTTTTTGTAGCTCGTAAAAATTAAATATTTATGTTATAATCCGAAAAATACGCGAATAATTCAAGTTGTTGGAAATACCAATAATAAATAGACGCAGACTTGATATACCATGTTTTCAGCGTTAGGGTGCGGTACTTCAATTGGGCCTGAAAAAATAAGTATGAAATAAACTAATCTCAAAATACTATTCTTGTAGAGCAAGAATGTAACTTGAATTTAGATACCTGGCGACCTCAAATATTAAAATTTTTAATTGGATTTTAAGCATTGAATATTTCTCCAGATCAAATTTCTTTAACATTTTTTTAATTACATCTTTTACCTGGTCAATTTTTTCAGATTTTTTTGAATTATTCCGAACAAAAGAGGTTTCCATTAACTTTTTTCTCAAGCTGACCATTTTTGGGTTATAAGCGCTTTAATGTTTGAAAAGTCCTAAAAATGGGAAAAATACTTAAAATGTCCGTTAACAATCATAATTGTTGAGATCTACAAATGTTTACATCAAAGTTTAAACCTTACTTTACAAGACCTCGATGAGCTTTTGAGATTACTTTATTTTAAAGCGATATTTAACCTTGTCTGTTGTTAGGCCAAAATTCGCGAACTTTTGATTTTACCAGACTGTGCCTGCCTTATCCCAGACTCACTCTCTGACCAGATGACATAATCTAAACAAACCAAACGTTGCTAAATTCTCAACCGAAGATGTACATATTTTTTATCTTACGATTTCGAGAACATCGTACTTATAAAAGTCGGACATTATACCCCATGATATCTTTTGTCTATCACCCCCGCTAACGGCTTTCAATTTTGTTTCTCTAGTTTCTCAAAATTTCCAGTTTTGTTGCTCACTTATATATGCATCCTTCCAAAATAATAAGATTGATATAACATGTTACAGAGTTTTGATGATTAGTTGTTGAGTACAAAAACGCTCAACGTTGACTGCCCGCTAGTCCGCCATTTTGAAGGATAGTAATGGTATAAAGTACTCATAAGAAGCTTCAAAATCAGGTACCAAAAGAATATTTATAAAATGTTCGAAGACATCAGGTGGCTAAATTGACCCACTTTAAAAAATAAGTGTGAAAAGCACAGTATGAAAATGTGTTGTTTCTTATGAGCAAGGAATTCCAAAGTTTTCAATATCATTGCAGTTTTCCATACAGAACCAGACAAGTCTATTTACTTGATGCACCTTCCATGAGGTGTGTAGCATGGCTTGGCTTATGCATGCATAAAATCAGTGAAAACTATAGTTAGTCATAATTATATACACATGCGTGACTTTCAAATACTCATTAATTGTTACGTAGAGAGAATCTTTTCATTGGATAAAATACAATGAGCAATGTTGTACGTTGTACAACAAATAGAAAGAACAGATAGAACTAACACACGCACACGTAAATTATTGATTAATTCAGAATGCATGATTCAGAATGCAAACTGTATCTCGGCTACTTAAAGCCGCGTAAAGACCGAAAATCCAAACGAATGCAAGTACATGTGACGTTGGTATTTGTTGTTGGAAGGTATTGGAATGCGCTCGTTTACACGTCATCTACACCTAAACTTAGTTACGAGTTTGACCGCGTCGGGTTAAGTTCGGTGCTAATGTCGAGCGACGAGTCTCCTAGACTAAATACTAGAAGCGCAACAAATCCTTTCCAGACCAAATCAAACCTCCCTTTGATGTACCGAACAGGGAGCGAACGCAATCGTTACGCCAACGCCGACCTTAGAAACCGTTGGTTTATGTTGACTCGCGCCGTACACACCGATTCGAACACCTCCGAATCTGTAACCACAAGTGCCTTGGCTTGCGTTGGAATCTCGGTCTGTACGCGGCTTAAAACACACCAAGGTGTCCACTGGCCGGAGCGATCAAAAAGCGAGAAAAATTGATATTTTGGAAGGAAAATGAGTAAAATGTAAGCTTTTCTGCGATTATGTCACTGATATGAATGATAATGATCCATCTCTATTTTGCCGGTAACTGAAGCAGTGTTTTTTAGAGCGAAATTTAAAAAATTAAAGAGCAGCGGAGGTTATACATAAGCAGCACTTCTCAAAAAGAGTGCCTCTATTACAATTGAAGACCGGTGAGGGCGGTACTGCATCGATATAGTCATTCCTATAGCATCTAATTTAATAAAGCAACGATGCATGGTCGACGAATTTCTCCGAATTCTTTGAGCCCACATCTCGAATTCTGAATTAACCAAAAATTGACGGTGTTGGGGCTCCTAATATTTCACTTTATTTGGATATATCGCTTGCTATTATTCGTTTGATTGTACGGTTGTTTCCAAATTCAAGCGAATTCAGTTTCGTTGCATGACGGTAATCATTTTCAGTTAGGTATCGAAAATGAGAGTAATTTTGTTTTTTAGGGAAACTAAATAGCCTAATTTTAATGATAAGAAATAAAGATTGTCTCAGTACTTGCATTCATATAAACCTACTTCACGTTCTAGCTACCCGAAATTCTAGACATTTCATCTAGTGGTAAGTGGAATACCAAAGCATCAAAGCTTTTTGATATCTCCTTCCAAGGAAGGATGGAAAATGTCTAAAAACAGTTAAGATTTTTTTTCACCCCTCTCAATCCCCATTTCCATTTGATGAGAAGTAAATGAAATAATTCAATAGTCTGAAAGCAGAAAATCACGACTATATTTATTCGACTAAATTTGCTTGTCCTCTTTGGTCAATTACTTCTATACGAAGTAATAGTTTATTTTTGGCAAATTCATCTGCCAATTTATAAAGTATGTCACCTCGAGTACTGTACAGCCGAAGCATCACTAGGACTATAAATAGTCGGGTTACGGTTACAGTGTTGCCATTTATATAACGTTTAACGCTTCGACTGTCTGATACTTATGGCAATACACTGTATATAACATGTCATAGTAGATAACAAAAATTATCTCATGTAGATGGTCTTTCTACAGAAAATTGTAATAGATACTCTTACCTAACGATCTTTTAGTTAAGTGAAAAAACCCATGACGATTTTGTTATTCGTTAGGACCGGTGCCAGTAATCCAGATCCTACCATTAGACGGACAAATGTTATATTATTGGTAAAAACTTAATATTTGAAATTTATTTATCACCTAATTTGTGACAATCACAAACAAGAGCCAACCTACACATTGTAGTTTAAAATGGCTAGAACTTCGAATTTTCAAGGCCGGTTATAGCTACTTGCTGTGGTACTTCAAGCCCAAAGGATCTACAAAAAGAACAGGATCATGGGGATAAAGGTATTTAACATATAGAAAAATAATGGGCAAGTTCCGCAAAAAGATAGGTTGGCCCTTGTTGGTGACTCCGTGTATTCGCTTCCTCAGGTTACACCCGTATACGGATGTATGGGCATGTGTAATGTGCATCCACTTTTCTAGTTGCATATTTGCATTCATTTTGGACCTAGTGAAGCCAACTAGCTCGGGTTACCTATCCTATTTTCTGCTCGAATTCACTTTCCTTCTTTTTGCGGAATTTAACCATTATTTTTCTATTTGTTATATACCTTTATCCTCATGATCCTGTTCTTTATACGAGTATATATATATATATAATTTGTTGTCGGCATTATTATTATCCTAAAGCATTAGTTGTGCTATCTTGAAAACAAAATTCATAATTACACTTTGTATTCCACCTGTGTCTAAACTGTCCGACCGCTGGCACATTCACCTTACTAAATGGACACGATATATTTCGGTTTCTTCTTATTGTTATTTAACAGTATACTCACTAAGGGGTCATTAAACTCTTTGCTTCATTGAACTGATTATTAAAAAAGTAGTGATAGCTTGTTGTGCTTCTTCCAATGCTTTTTCCAGGGTCATGTCAGGCGGACTGAAAACAAGATATAATTGTCGACTATGATATTTATTTATGTTAATTTACAAGCAATCGGAATATATTACGTGCGATATATCATTCAGAAGTGTACTTACACTGGAATTTCTTCCGCATCTGCAAACTGAAAATAAAAAACAACATTACTTCAAAGTGCAAAGTGCTCTATTATTTGTATTGGACCTACAATAGCTGCAAATATATCCATTTATATCGACTTAGCAGCATATTTTTTGCCAGAGCAGTTGAACCAAATGAGTCAAAAACAATATATCTAACTTATGAATGACCCGTATTTGATGCATATAAAACAAATTCGTGTATTCTACTAAAGCATATGGTTCTCAGAATTATCATAAATAGTGTAAAAAAAAACAAAGTTGATCTGCAGTGCTCAGACGAATTATATTAAAAAATAGATATTTTCTCAGGTAGCACAGATTTGCAACACAAGCTTTTGAGTATTTTTTAATCTACCAGCCGGACCTTGATAATAGTTCTGAGTTCTTATTAAAAATATAATCAAACGTTCAACTCTGGATTATCCACCAGCTACAACGATTAAGAATGCGGAAATACGTAAATAATTGTTCATCTTCCATGGAAAAGTTCTAAATTTATTTTTTTATCAATTTTCGCCTCTTGTGAGACTGGCATCTGAATTCTTGTTGTGTGCGGTGTGCTAAGATCCATCAATAAATAAGCTTATCACCCGATCTAGTGAGGTTAATTCTTCCTGTGTCGCACTATAGCAACATTATGTCATATCACTGATTAAGGTAGAATAGGCTAATCAGTGGTCCTATGTAATTAAGTTGAGATGTAATATGATGACATGTCCTTACTGTTGATTCTCACTTTCATTGAACAAACACAGCAATTTTGACTCTGTAATTTGTATGATATTAGTATTGTTTAATAACAAAATATAATATCTAGATAGTAATTGTCATTGCTAATAACACTGACATTCAGATCATTTCGACAGCATTTCACAAATCATCCAATAGCCCAGTCATATTGTATAACAACACTTTCTCAAAAATATAGGTAGGCGGAGATTTATATTATTTGTTTCTATTTAGTCAACCCAGTATTTCTGACAGATAATGAACATGATTATTCTCAAAATGCTTATAGACCATTTTGCTTCCAATGAATATTTTAAATATTTTAAACTCACTGTTAGAGGCAAATTAATATAATGATATTTTTAAGTTAGAAAACGCTTTATTCCAGAGGAAAGTGTCCCAAGCCAGACTCCTGGTCTCATTGGCTCTGCATTCTCTGAAACTCTATTATTGCCAAGTGTATAACTTTAATTTATGTTCGTAGATATTTGCAAGTAAGCCTGTATACCCTATACAGGATGTCCTGTATTTAAATGAACATAGTGAAGTGGTAGGTAGTATGGACCGAGACCTTCTGAGAACTGATAATAAAAAAGTTCTAGATTTCGTTTTTATGGAAATAAACCCGCGAAATCATTAAAAGCACATATCCAGTCACTATTGAACGATTTTGTTAAAATCTTGCGAGGTAACAAAGTTGTCTGGGAGTAACGTAAAAATAGGACGGTCAAAAAAATCCGGACCCGACTCGGTTTTTTCACTGTTTTGTCTTTCTATCAAAATCAACGCCTTTAAGCTGAATATTGAAATGTTGACTGTGTACAAAAAATCAGCGAATGTGGCTAATAAGCAGCAAAATACGTTCACTGCACCTCTTTAGCTTTATGTTAAGAATTTGTAGTTATTTAAATATCTTATTTTTAGCAGTCAAAAATTTAGAAGTTATCAACTTGGTTTCATCAAAACTTCACAAAATAATGATTAAAATTGAACGAAAGATGTTCTGGGAACTGTTTATTTCCTTGTATTTTATTAAGTGCAACGCCATGAAAATTATACATCAAATTTAATATCATTGAGCAGGAAAAATGAGCAAGATATGATAGATATAAATGAAATCAAAATTAATGTTACGCATCCTATTAGTTTTGTTAGTAATTTTCAATGATTTAATTCTCCCAACTGAAGTTATATCTCAACATGAGTCCCGCTTTAGTAAAACAGCATGTAGTATGCAAAAGACTCTCCAGGCCAATTCGAGATTGTGATGAACATGTAGAAAACGTAATATACTAGTCCGGACTCAGCATTTTCAGCAATAGTGCTGTCACCACAACTCTACGTAAGATTTAGTTACATAATGGTACATCACTCAATTAATTGCAAAGTCTGGACCTGCATTGCTTTATTTTTGTAAATTTTTAACTTAAAGTTGGTCTAGAAGGTCAAATTTAGTGAAATCGCACATTTCATGTCGATTTCCTTTTAAACAGAACTCTTGTTGTGCAATATCAGTTGGTAGAATTTAAGTTCCCAAAACGACTTATCTCAATTTTAATTAAGCCTTACATTGTTAATTATTGCTAAAACCAAGTGGATAACTTTAAATTTGGAATTTTGTGTCACATAAATTGCTAAAAATAAGATATTTGGATGAATACATTATTTTAACTAAAAAACTAAAAGAGGCGCAATCAATCTATTTTGCTAACTCACTAGCACCATTAACTGATTTCCGATGTTGGGCATTTTCCTCTAAATGCATGTTTCTATATCTTAGAAAGTTTGGTGAAACGATCTCTCACTACTTCATTTAACCCAAAGTGTTATATTAGGTCACACATATGAATATCCCAGAACACACAAACCTCAAATTACAATACTACGTTATGAATTATTTCCAGACGATGAATTACGTTTTAATTTTTGGAATCAGTAAAATGTTGATCAACATCAACGTCTCCTACTGCCTCGCCTGTATTCGATCCATATACAAAATGATACGGGTCAACACGTTGTAGGTATAATTATTAGTATGTTGCATATGCATTACAATAAAAACATCATCCGTAGAATCATTACTAGTCCGTAGATGTTTGCCTTGATATAGAACATGCTTCCTAGTAGGAATCTTCAAGGCAGATCATAACTACAAGGCAAACGACATGCAAGGAAAGTTTTCTCCGAACCAGAAGCCATAAAACAAAAATATTTTAAATTGAGGGATTTTCTTCAGTGCCAGGTAGCCTAGTCCTGACCCTAAACCAAATCAGAATGGTCAAAGAAGCGCAAAGCTGGCACCAAATGTGTTATACCCGAAGATCAAAGTTCATGGTACTCTTCGCTATTACCTAGGGTCTCCGCAGTGGATGGAGGGATGAAGGGCGAATTTTACATGTGCGTGCAAACTAGCTTTTATAAAAGGTGTTAATATAAAGTGCATATAAGCAGACCATTTTATTCATATTAATATACTCAAGCTGATATTTGACAATATCATAGTACGATACGATTGAAAAAATGGAGTTATGAAAAAAATAGGGTAAAGTTAGGTAATTTGGTATATTTTATACAATAACTCGTAAATTCCTTATTTAAATTTAATGGTAATTTAAAGTAACATTATTTTACACGTTTCTATCAAAATGCATACCAAAAAAACGAATGTATATTCTGAGAGCTTCGGCTAATAAGCTTTTTAAACACATGTTGCAAACGGTACAATTTATCGTACTGGTTCATTATGTTGCACCATGCGGTGTGTAAATTGCACCTTACCAAAAAGCAATCTTTTTTTATTGTTACTTAAATAGAGATCATTAATGAGAATCTTAGGAGAGATAAAGCATTACCCTAATGAATTAACTTAGAATACGTAAATATCAAAAATTTATATTTATAGAACTTGAAAATAAGTTTCACCGATTTGGGGCACATTGGTAACACAGTAACACTATCAAAACAAGTACTACTCATATTATCATAATAGATAGATTTGGCAATCACAAACACCGCAGACGTGAAGTTAAAATAATGTCATTTCACATTTAAGTCGTGTAATAAATGTCAAATGACGTTATTATAACGTTTACGCATGCGGTATTTCTATTAAGTAACAATATTTGTATAATCTAAGCAAAGAAATGACAGATTGACCATATCCCCTCCAGGTAAAGATATGCCTAAGATATTTTAAAATAAACAGAGTATTCACAAAAACGTATAGACTAAATTTATGAGCTAGAATTCAAAATTGTTCACTTATTATGAGTTGCAAAAACACAACAAAATTATATTAGAATCTAAAAAGTCAGATAATTTTATTAATCAACATCCGACTCATCAGTAGACGAATCAGGGTCGTCGCTATTCAACTCAATAACAACTGGTTGAAAAATAATGGCTATGTAAGTTTCCAGATCCCACAATCTATGTCGTGTATTAACTCTTTCTTCCCCTTGGAAAAAGTTTCACTTTGTCCGTCCATTATTATATACAGAGAAATCCATATATCACTGACGTCGTAATGTGTACGACAGAGAAGTGCAAAAAACCTGCAATGCGCATGTTAGAAAGAGATAGAAGCACCACGTTGCCTAGCAATCCGAGTGACGAGGCCACGGACGCACCTGCGGCTTGCCACGTTGCCATCGGTGCACTATTTCTAACATACTTATTGCATGCTTTTCGCGCTTCTGCCTCGTACACATTAGCTCGTCAGTGATATATTTGGATTTCTGTGTATAATCGCATTAGAACTATTCTCGTTAGGCTACGCCACTGGCATTAATGTACAAACCAATGAGTCTATCCCTCATAGGGTGGTCACGTTAGCAGTGGGCAAGGGGTAAGGGTGTCTCACTGTCAATGTTGATCTTCGGGTAAAGAAGAAAGAAGAAAAAATTATCTCCTAATCCGTTATAATCAGGGTTCCATCTGAGTGATGCAGGAATAACATCTATCCAACTATCAGATTTGATTTCAGCTAAAATAATGTAATGTTCGATGAGGAATCAGTTCTAGATAGATAGGATGGTCATGTTTTGGAAAGACGAATATAGAACATTCCTTTCTGTCATTTTATACAAAGCTTACCAAATAAACAATAGTTCAGTTAAACCCAGTTTCTGCCACCTAGTCATGATCTTTTATGTTTTCAAGACAACATGGCCACTAACATAAATCGGTAAAAATCCATCTAGTTAAGAAATTTGGTTTCAAAGCAAAAACCTAAATGCTTCGTATTTTGTTATGGCAAGCATAAATATGTAATGATTATAACATTTACTATACTTCTATATATGCATTGACGTTGCACCCAGATTTATCCATTTTCGTCAATGTAACTAGAAAATTATAATTGTTCACGAAATATCCTTCTTCATTTAACATTTTTAATCATGAATATGTGATTTTTTCTTGAGAAAGCATATTTCGAATATTCTGCCTGCATGGTTTATTTTATATTCTGATTGTTCTGACTGAATGTACTCTAAAAAAATGGTACTATTTTACGTATATTGAAGCTTCTTATAGTCAGAAAGCAGCAGGTACTGTTTATGTTATGAATATGTAGGGTGTGATAAAAATAACCAAGTGTTACTATAACCAACAAAAGATAAAGTGACAAATAATTAAAAGCAAGCTATACCTCATCCGAATTCCCAGTTGAATTGCTTGATGAAGCCATAGGGAACACCTACTTAGCAGAATACGTCGTCATTTTTGGGAAACTTTCACTACGAATTTTCACACGTCAAAATGACATAATATCAACTACATTTTCCCCAAACTGAGTGCGCAAAAGTTGTTTTTGGTTCTAGGTACTTCTGACGCAATAAATATCTTTATTGAAAGAATAGTATCCGGGTTAGAGAATTGAGAATATGTCAATTCCCTGTGTCTTGAGCATCGTCGTCGATTGCATGTCCCACACTTTATTGTTGCAAAAGCTCAAGTATTATGGCTTAGATGAAGCTTCTTGCAAATTACATCAAACTTACTTAGAAGGGCACACACAATTTGTTGAAATAAATGGAAAAAAACAGCCCTTGAAAGTGTCGTTAGTGGCTTGCCACAAGGGTTCCGTTCTGTTCTTGATCTTTATGAATTATCTGAACAGATGACGCAACACCCCTGATTTCAAACAACAACAACAAAATTCCCTCTGGTTTTGTCCACAGATCAAATCCATACTAATGAAAATAGGGAATCTACAGATGTCATGAAGATAGTCTTTGTAAATCTGACACAGATTGGATTCGGCGGAATATTTGCACTGAGAAACGCTGGCCAATGAAACAGTTGTTCTCGAAAATTGTCATTACCCATAATGATTTTTTTAATTATCTTATGTAATTAAATAATTCGGTTTAATCAAACAGAATTTTCTGGAACCAGTTTAATTGAAAGTAATATGCTATTAAACTAATTTGCATTAAAATAGCAAATAATGTTCTTGTTTGTACTGTTTAATTAATTTAGGTGATTTAGTTTATGTAGAAAATGTACATTTAAAACAATTAAACTGTTTATTTGAACCGAGGACTCGGCAAGACTCAACTCTTCATTCGGGAATGATCGGGTGTATGCGACAGGCGCAATGCCGGTAACGCCCTTCGAACTCTTCAGTTTTATTTGTGATCTTCGCGAGGAGCTTCATATTCGAACAGACTCTGCCACAACTAATCCATGAAGTTCGAGATGCTTGGAATGAGGTGCCACAACCAGACAGGAGTGTATTCAGCTGGAGGGTCGCCCAACACATTATTATTTTTTTTTCTTATTACTTGTAAAAAAAATTTCGTGAGAAGGTTATCGTTTCATTCTTGATATAAGACTACTTTAATGCCAAAAAATCAATTTGAAGAAATTAATTTTTTCTGGGTGTAACACTTCTAATAGCACTGAGTATATATACAGAAAAGTGGAGCCTCCTGTTGG